CCTTTTGACATATAAAAAAATACAGACCAGAGGCGGATCTAGCAAATATTTTTTGGGTGGTCTCAAAGGTGGATTTAGGAATTTTTCGGTCCGAAGAAACAGTACAATGGCTCGATCTGCTGTCATGCAGGGTTATTAGGGGTACATAGATGAATAAAAAAACTAAAAACATTAGCCTTCTCATTAGCAGTCCAAAAAATGCAGTAGATTTTCTAAAACGTGGCAAAAACTGACTTTTTTAAAATTAACGCTAGGGAAACAAAATAAAATCACATCAAATATTGTAATCAAATCTTATAAGAGATTTATTCCAGTTTTCGGAAATACTCTTTGATTGTCTGTGCGACCACTGGTTACCGAGATATAAGTGGATCCTTTTTCACTCAAAGACAAACGATAGCATCGAAATTTCAAAAACAGGATATTGAAGCTGAATAGGCGGCCTATCCGATCCTAACAGAAAGAAATTGTCAAGTCCGTGGACTGAAAAGAAGGCAAACATTTTTAATAATGTTTTTCTTACACTAACTGTTAGAATTAGGTGAGAACAGTTTCTCCTAAAATTTTGCGGCAAAAAACCTGAAAACTAGAATCTTGAAACTCCAAAATACTTTTTTAAAGTCCAGATACGACCATTTTTCACCAAAATACAGCCTGTCAAAAATTACCGGAAAATTTGGATTTTTTCTCGCTTCCTTATTTTTTTGAGTAGTGCATGGATCCAACACTAAGTGCTAGAAAAAAATCTGTCGAACCGGTGGTTCGACACCGAAGAAATGTCGATGGCATCTTCTGGAAAGGTCATGGTCAGTACGTTTTGGGATGGGAAACGGATTCTGTTAATTCACTACTTTGGCCACGGAAGATCAATTACGGCGAATACTATTCCAACCTCCTTGGTCAACTGTATGCCAAACTTTCAGAGAGACTGACGTGAAGAAGAAAAAGCTCAGTCTTCATTAGGACAGCGCATCTGCTCACAAAGGTGTGTTAACAATGGAAAAATGATTTGATCCACCATCCTTCGTATTCTCTATTTGTAGAAACTTATTTATGGGAAGCGCTTTGGGTCCAATGAAAAGTTGAGAGGGCTGTAGGTGAATACATTGACAGCATTCGGGGCCGAGAACTTTACACTCCACCATCGTCCTGTACAGAGTGTTACAATTTCGTCCCGCACCATTGGGATCTCGGAAACGGTAAGAGATACAAAGTCACTTAAATGGGGGCAAAGTTGCCTATTTAGGTGACTAATAAAATGCTGCTTAGATAGTATCGAAATTCAGACACGGTAAAAACCTAATTTTACCAAAATCGTTATATTTTTTTCCTAACTTTATTTGTAGTGGGATTTCAAAGTCAACTGCTTGTTAACATTGCCACTTTCTCTCCTCTGCAAGATGGCATAATTAGAATTTCAATGTCACGTTTGATTGTGCTCCAGCATCAACTTCATTTTTTCTTATGGACGCCATATTGGATTTTGGCGTAGATGAATAGAGTTTTTGATTCTGATTTGAAAAATGTATAATATTTCGTACATTGATATTTCCAAACCTTAGTTATTCCAGAAAAACAGAAGTTCCTAAGGTAATCCTTGAAATTATGCATCAGATTTTATTTGTTTCGTATACCAGACCAGACCTCAAATTGAGTATAGCAACAGAGTTTGGAAGACTGAGAAAAAGAGAAATAAATCGTGTAGTGAACAATGTACAGAGAAGAGTCAGACTTTGCCTACAAAATAACGGACATCTGCTTTGATTTCCCTCTGCTCATTTATGATTATTATTGTTATTACCATTAATAAGCTTTTCCTTTTGTGTTCAGGTTTCACCATACCTTCTTATTTCCTTATAATTTCCACTAAACAATAAATTCATGGCCAACTAAGGAAATACATCACTGAATTAAGGACTGAAAAGTTCATTCAAATGTACAAAATTCCAATATAGTATCCATATAAAACGTTGTTGGTGTTGGAAGTCGAAACAAGAAATATGTCGAATTGAAAATTTGACTACGCCATCTTGTAGAGGAGAATAAGTAACAATGAAACATGCAATTTATTTTGAAATGTATAATATTTCGTACATTGATATTTCCAAACCTTAGTTATTCCAGAAAAACAGAAGTTCCTAGGTAAGCCTTGAAATTATGCATCAGATTTTATTTGTTTCGTATACCAGACCAGACCTCAAATTGAGTATAGCAACAGAGTTTGGAAGACTGGGAAAAAGAGAAATAAATCGTGCAGTGAACAATGTACAGAGAAGAGTCAGACTTGGCCTACAAAATAACGGACATCTGCTATGATTTCCCGCTGCTTATTTATGATTATTATTGTTATTACCATTGATAAGCTTTTCCTTTTTGTGTTCAGGTTTCACCATACCTTCTTATGTCCTTATAATTTCCATCCAACAATAAATTCATGGCCAACTAAGGAAATACATCACTGAATTTAGGACTGAAAAGTCCATTCAAATGTACAAAATTCCAATATAGTGTCCATATATACTAAGTGACATATAAATCCGAACACCCAGTTTAAATGGTTTTATTTTAATAAAATTTTGTATAAGTACTTAATGAAGCATAATAAGTAAATGATAAAAATTTCAAAATGATTGCACTGCTTTAAAGCCCTTAGACCTTTAATAATGTGTGGATGCACCCTGATGTGCTACGCATTCACCAACGCACCTAGGCATGCTTCTGATCAGGTGGACAATGTCCTCCTGTGGTATCTCATTCCAGGCAACCGCCAACTCCTCTCGAAGTGCTTCTAGAGTCTGAAGAGGACGTTGCAAATTGAACAATCTCCTACCCATCATATCCCACACGTGCTCAATTGGGGATAAGTCGGGAGATCTTGGTGGCCATGGTAACAATGTGACATCATTATGTTGAAAGAAGTCTATTGTGACTCTTGCAATATGTGGTCGGGCATTATCTTGTTGGAAAGTTGGATCTGCCAGGGTGTCAAGATAGGGTAAAAGATGGGGTTCTAGAACTTCGTGGATATAACGCTGCGCGTTCATGTTACCTCTGATGAAGATTAAAGGTGACCTGGAACCATAAGCTATAGCACCCCAAACCATAACTCCAACAGTGTGATGAACATGTCTTTCAACAAAAAACTGTGGATTCCTCCTTTCACCACGTCGCCTTCTAACCCTGGCACGACCATCGTGCATGCCTAAACAAAATCGAGACTCATCACTAAAGACAATACTGTTCCATTCCTGATCCCAGAGTGACCGTTGTCTGCACTACTCAAGGCGATTACGTCGGTGTTCTCGAGTTAAAGGGAGGACCCAGTGTGACCGGTATGAAAACAAGCCAAAACTTCTCATTCGTCGATAACCACTTCGCATGCCAATAGGTCTTCCGTGTTCTGCAAACCAATCATTTGCAATGGACTTGGTAGTGGAGAAACGGTCCCTTAAGGCCAATAATCTTAGGCGGCGATCTTCACGGTCTGTTGTTCTACGGCGGCATCCAGTGCCCCTTGCTCTTTGCGTACGGCCTTCTCGAAGCCATGCCTGACAACACCTAACCACAGTGTCTACACTTCTTTGCACCCTAACTGCAATTGCCCGAAAAGCAAGTCCAGCTTCCCGAAGTCCCACTATACGGCCCCTATCAAACTCACTAAGTTGACGAAATCGTTCAGGTCTCCGTACTCTAGGCATCGTAACCGATCGTAAAGGATGTCAAGAACCAAAATCCGCCAACATTGATTCTTTACTGCGGCTGAAATATTCATTTTTAGAGCGTTAGTGAATTTAAAAAAAGCAGTATAAAAACCGGAATGTCCAACTGATAAGGCTGAAAATTTTTTCACTTGTTATTTACATTAAGATAAATACATTCACCAACTTTTATTAAAATAAAACCATTTAAACTGGGTGTTCGGATTTATATGTCACTTAGTATAAAACGCCATCTTGTATAAATAACTAAGGTTTGGCAATGTCAAAGTACGACATATTATACATTTTTGGAATCAGAATTTAAAACTCTATTTCTGTGTAAAAATTCAATATGGCGTCCATAAGATAAAGTAAAGTTGATGCTATAGGACAAGAGACGAAACATATTGTAGAGGGAAAAAGTTGTCAATGTTTATGTGCAATTTATTTTGAAATCCCACTATAATCAAAGTCAGGAAAAAATTGAAATGATTTTGACAAAATTCTGTTTTTTGGTCTTTCCCCGGAAGTACTATCAATTTCGAAACTTTCTAAGCGGCATTTTGTTGGTTACCTAAAAACGCAACTTTGCCTCCACTTAAGCGACTTCGTATCTCTCCATCTTATCCAGGAAGCACACACACACTACTGGACGGGTAACACCAACCCAATGTTGCTATTTTTCACTAATTTACTTTCCATAACGAGTTGTATAATGACAGAATGTGAGCAATTGCTCTTTTGCAGATTCGTAATTAACATTAATCTTCCAAACAATTGCTTCAGTATAAAGGATATGCCTGGTAACCCTGAATATGCTCACACAACATAGTTCGTTCAGCTTATAATTCCAAGTTCAATGTGTTTTAAAATAAGAATAGGATGAAGATTCGCGTGTTTTAAAGAAATATTAACGCCGTCTTTTGAATTACCTTGGGGCTAAGCAAAACAACGATTTTTTCAATAATGGATTTTCTTATTTTAACCAAAACGAAAATCGGCCTACTTTGAAGGTTACAACAATTTTTCCAATAATAATTTTTTTCTTACCATAGAAACAAGATTAACGAAAATATGCTTGTCTGCCATTTTGGTTACGTCCCTGACTTTAGTCCATATTAAAAGCTAATTATATCTTAACGTATGTATGTATAATGTAGTTAACGAATATAATTATTTAAATTATTATACAGCTGTAAAATTAGTGTACGAAGATAATTAGTTTATTTTAAAACACAAAAGAATTTCCCTTTCCAGTTAAAAGTGGACTAATATTGTAGATTAAAACTATAAGCTCCTTACCTGGAAAATGTTAGCGATCTCTGAGACCTTGGAGCCTCCGAAGCGAGGCTTTTTCTCCTCCATGGTGTGCATTCGTTCTGACAGTGGCTAAAATCTGGAACAAAAATTACCAAAAATAACTAATATGTCACTTTAAAATCAGTTAAGCACAAGCTTATTTTAGCTTATATCCTGAATGTATTATTTCATAAACTCATGTAAACAGAAAATACAGTTATCTACTTCCATGAAGAATTTTATCGTCAATTGCAATCTTATCGACGTATTTACAGGATTATATCTAAAGCATGGAGATAAATGTAATTATAACTTCTAGTAAATAACGTGCTGGATAACGACACCTTTAATTTTTTGAGAGTAAAGAATAGACTATAGTTGAAACTAATGATTTGGAACATCTGGGTCTTGAGTAAGAAAAATCATTTTTCTAATTCAAGCTTTCGCTAATGTTTAGTAGCATATTGAGGACTTTTACAAATAATGATAATATGATAGAGTTCGTTGTAACAAAGGTGACTTACAACGTGAGATTTGTACAAACAAGTGGCAAATATTTCGAATCGAGTCAACAGCAAATTACTAAAAGTATAAGGATCTTTATATTTGTATATATTTGGTATAATCACGATAATTACCTTTGTACTTTTGAAATTTTGGAAAATGAATCGATTTGAAAAATTTACAACTTGTATGCTCTAACCTCACAATCAGTAAGTTGTTTTTATAAAATAATGAACTGTTACGTACTTACAGTATCATTATTTGTAACTTTCTTGACAAAGCTAACACACATTATGGAAAAGTGAATTGAACAAAAGAGACTTCTTGCTTTGTCTTAAGTTGGCATAACCCCCGATATATTTCATTACTGTTAACTAGACTGCGGAACTACCCACCACTCTTTAATTCTTCCTGTGAGATACTATTTATTTTTGTAACCACACTAAGAACTTGTATGAGCGACAATCCCATGTTTTATTTTAACTTTTTATTTTTACTAACAGTGCATTGGAACAACAATGGTCTTATCTTAATGAATGCTTTGTGCTATATCGTGCTTCATAATATATACAGATTATTGGAAATGTCGCGGTCGAATATAAATGTAGCAGGTGTTACGTCCAAGGAAAACTTTGGTCATGAAAATAGGATAAACCAATACTAGAATTAGAATAAGCAACGCTATTATGATAAGCAAATCACAATATTTTGGCATATATAATGCTTTGAAAAAACGTCTATCTCTCCTTTAGTTAGTTAGTGTTAGATAATTTATTATTTATTCATAAGCCGAGGCAAAGAACATTGTTAAAGAGAATTATACTAGCTAACTAAAATTAGTTCTAAAAGAAATATACAATTACAAAGATTTGTATAAGCTACCTAAGAATTCATGTGCTTTCACAATCATAAACAAGAACAATATAATTAATTAAAACAATTTTCCACATTTATAATCAACGTTATCAATAAAATTATGTATAGTAGCATCAATGATATAATAACTTGCAGTGCAAAATATTCTAAATTAAAGTAAAGTAAATCTATCCTTATCCTCAAAAAAATCATTCAATGATAAAAAGGCCTTAGAGATCAAACAATTAGCAATAATCTTTTTAACTTTGATTCATTGGTAAATTACGTACATTTTAATGAAAACTATTGAAACGTTGTTTAACAATATATGGAGCATTTTTCTGTATAATTTACACTTATTTGGGATAAGATCTTCCTTATGCCTAGTAATGACCGTTTTTAAAAACAAACAGCGTCAATATATAAAGAGAAACAACAGTTAGAATTTTTTTACTGACGCAATATACAAAACCGGTCAAAGGCAGCTTGCTTGCCAGTCGGCGATTTTGATTCTAGAGCTATAAAATATGTACATACTCATAAGAATCTTCAGAATAAGGTATCACACGACCCTTCATTCCATTTACAAGATGTTACGTTGCGTCAATTTCATCATCCGAAATTTTAGCTTGCTAACTTAACCGTTCAAAAATTAATTGGGAGGAGGGTGAGTTTGTGAAAAGTTCTGTATAGGAATCAGCTATTGGAATTAAAACTTGTGTATTTGTGTCTAGCCAGGTAATCCAAACAACTTATTCCATTCGCCGATGTTAATAAGAAAATGGCTTAAGATAGGTGTTAAGGAAGTCAGATTCCAGAATCTGCCAAAAACTAGATTCCTAACGGTGGCAAACCAAGATGGAGCTGCTTCCAAGACTAAAGTCAAATTATCTGCTAACATTAAAGCGTAAGTTCGTCATACCAAGGAACTCGTACTCTCAGCCGATCCTATTTGCCTGCCTACTTCAAAGTGCGCCCTTTTTGGCAATGAGAGAAAAAATGGGACAGAAACAGGAAGGCCATGGCCACTACTATCAACTTAGTTACAATTTATTTTCGGGAAAACCTGTTAGAAATTCTAATAAGCAAAATAAAGAAATAAAACATTTTAAAAGCAACCTTTTATTTAGCTGTTCATAAAATTAACTACAAACTTAAAAACATTTCCTACGAATGGAAATATTTGAACGATAATGGGGATCCTTCATCTCAAGTTTTCAAAAAAAACAAACGTGTTACACCCTTTTTTCATCGTGCTGTCAAAACGTAACACGCCTCTATTAGAAAATTTGAAACAGAGCTTCCGATCGGATTTTTTTTTCTAGTTCTTTTCATGAACAGCTAAATATAAGCTTTTTTAAAAAAAATGTTTTTTCAATTTTCTTCTTTTTAGTATTTATTATGTCGAAAAACTAGTTTTGGTAATATCTACATAACTATTAACTACTATTTTATTAATAGGACTCTATAAAACTTTTTACTTTATTTGTATTATAAAATTTCCGTAGATATGAATCATAAATAAATCAATATTTTGCGCCATATGGAATTTAAAATGACGTTATTTGCTTATCGTGTTTCTCTCATTAAGCCCTTTCATTTGATACCCATATCATAGCAATGACCATGGATATTATAAATCGCCATTCAACGGCAGTCTACATCTTGGATCTAGAATGACGTCACGTTGCTTATTAGGTTTCTCTCAGCAAGCCTTTTCATTTGACACCCGATAGTATAGCGGTAACTACGGAACCATTTTATGTTATGTTTCTTTCATAAGGCGCTTTAATTTAATACCTATACCAAAGGGGCTACTATGATAATTATGAGTGCCATCTTGTGGCAGTCGCCATATTGGATTTAGAATGAAATCACTTTGCCTATCGAGTTCCTCTCATCAAGTCCTTTCATTTGATACCGTATGAGAGACTAGGACATATGTAAAGTGTCATTTTGTTGCGGCCGCCATATTGGATTTATAATTACGTCACTTTGCTCATTGCGTTTCTCTCATCAAACCCCTTTATTTGATATCCATATTATATTGGTGACTGTGAAAAATGTAAATGGATATTTTGTAGCGGCCGCCATATTGGATTTAAAATAACTTTACTTTGCTTATCGTGTTTCTTTCATCAAACCCTTTCATTTGATATCAATGTTGTAGGGGTGCAGATGAAATCTGTAAATCGGCGGTCGCCATATTGGATTTAGAATGATGTCACTTTGCTTATTGTGTTTCTTTTGTCAAGTTCCTTCATATGATACTCATTACATAGGGATTACTTTACAAAAGATGAATGATTTTATAGCATCCGCCATATTGGATTCAAAATGACGGCAGTTAATTCATTTTGTATTGCCACGCAAATCAAACGTGTGTTCAAAATTTCAGCTCAATTGGTTATGGCTGAGTGGTTCAAAATTTAGTTCCAAGATTTGAGTTCCACACATATTTGTACTGACATACACAGCAACAAAATAAAAAACAGTCAAGTAAAATAAAAGCTTGTAAAAAACCTTTTTCGTAAATTTTATTGTTTTACGGTACCAAAATGGAAAATATTGGGTTGTCGGAAAAGTCATGACGTATATGCAACAAAGTATGCAATTGCATGGTTGGAAGTACGTGAGTCAATGACATTTGTATGTTTATTGTGTAGTTTGACAGTTGACACTTCAAGCTTCATTTGCACCAAAAAATTAAGTGATTTATTTGAGTCTCGTCGATTTTAGAGGACGTTGAATATGGACGACCAAACTGTGCATTTTCGTCACATTTTGCTCTATTACTTCCGCAAAGGCAAGAACGCAAGACAAACGTGTGAAAAGTTGAGAAAGGTTTATGGAGAACATGCACTACAAGAACGGCAATGCCAGAGATGGTTTAAAAAATTCCGAGATGGGGATTTTGATATCCATGACGCACCTCGATCAGGGCGGCCTACTGAGTTGGATAGTGACGAATTAAAGGCATTGGTAGGAGCAAACCCACATTACACCTCACGGGAAATTGCAGAAACCTTAAAAATCCATCATTCAACCGTTCACGACCATTTGAAGAAACTGGGATACGTAAGCAAACTCGATCGTTGGGTACCACACGAACTGAGAGAGGTTCATTTGACGGCGCGTGTAGACATCTGCGATATGCTCCTTAAACGTGAGGAAAACGATCCTTTCTTAAAGCGCTTGATAACGGGAGATGAAAAGTGGATTGTTTACAATAATGTGGTTCGCAAACGGTCTTGGTCCCGAAGTGTAGATACGCGTAACACGATCGCGAAAGCAGAGAGTCATCAGGAAAAGGTGATGCTCTCTGTTTGGTGGGATTTTAAAGAGATCGTGTTTTTCGAACCCCTGCCAAAGAACCAAACCATCGATACAACTGTGTATTGTCGGCAATTGGACAGTTTGCAACAATCCATCATGCAAAAACGTCCGGAGCTCATTAATCGCAAAGGAGTTGTGTTCCACCATGACAACGCGAGACCGCACACAAGTTTGCTCACTCGTCAAAATTATTGGAGTTAGGATGGGATGTGTTACCACATCCAGCATACTCGCCTGATCTTGCCCCATCTGATTTTCATTTGTTTCGGTCGCTTCAAAATTCCTTGCGAGAAATACGCTTTACTTCAGATGAAGCTGTACATCAGCACCTTGTTCAATTTTTTGCCGGTAAAGACAAATCCTTCTACGAGCGAGGAATTATGAAGCTGCCTGAAAGATATC